GAGCAATCCGCCCGCCTCGGCCTCCCAAGAGCTAGGATTACAGGCGTGAGCCACAGCGCCCGGCCTTAGGTTCTTTATATACACACTAGTCATTTAATTCTCACATAACGTAAGAGCTAGAGAGGTATTATCCCCATTTAGAGAAAAGGAAACCAAGAAAACTTAGGTAATTTGCTCAAAGTCATAGAATAAATGGTAAAGCCAGGACATAAAGCTGGGCAGTTTGATTTCAGAGCCAGTGCTTTTAATCTCTACTGTACTGCATTGCAACTAACATGGGGTTGCATGTGCCTGTGCTCTTATTCTCTCTCTTCCTGTCTCCTCCTATGTTAATGCCTCCACTTCCTCTCTGGCCCTCTCCAGTTCATTCTCCACAGAGCAGCCTGAGTGATCATAAAGTGCAAATTTTAATCATGGTAGTCCCTTTTTCAGAAACCTCCACTGGCTCCCCATTCTCATAGAATAAAAGCAAAAGTCCTTAAAAAAAAAAAAAGAGTGATAAGGATGGTAAGAAAGTCTAATTAAGAGATATTATGACAAATGATACCTTGTCTGTTTCCCTTTCAGTTAATTGAATCACTGTCCACAGGGTTGCTCACAGAAGATGCTGCAGAGTCATCCCCGATACGTAGCCTTACTATGCTAGGCACACTCTCTCTCCTGCTCGACCCTGCTGTCTTCCCCAGGGGATGCTTTGTGTAGACATGTAGCACGGCTCCTGTGTTCTCTGGCTTCCTGGTTGACTTCGGTCCTCTCTCTGTCTAGGGAGAGTGAGGTCTGGGCGTGAGTTCTCTTACCCACCAGCCTCAGTCTGGCTGTGCCTAGTGGTGTTGCTGGTAAATGTCTAACCACTGACTCTCTAAAAAAAATAAAACAGAAGTTTTGGCATATGGTATTTGCTGATTTCCGTGTCATCATAATCCCACCATGACAGATTTTTAGGTTGCCCATGTGACATCACTGAATTCAGAGTTGGGAAAAGATACAATTAGCTCCCACGTGTCCTGTGAGCTTGCCCCAGCACATTGCTGGCTGCTTGTCTCCCAAGTTGACCCTCCCAAGGTAGGTCTGCGCTCCGTGATTCTCTCTCCTTCAGAGTTCCAGTAACTTGCATTATCCCTTTGTGGTCTCCCTAATCCCTGCATACATCCTGTAAATTGTCCCTTTGTAAGAAAACAAACTGTTCACACACACACTTCACAAATTATCCTAATTTGAAAGTGCCCTGCATGTACAAATAGTCCTCTAGAAATAAGTATGTTTAAAGCAACTTGAACTCTACACAGGCCTTGTTTTCCAAAGAAGAAGTACTGTTTAGAGGAGCAAAATTATAAGCCCTACCCATATGGGTTGTAAAACTGTTTTGAAAAGTGAGGCTTGTAAATAGAAATGCAGTGCCCAAGTCACAATCCACTTAAAACTTGTAATAAATACAGATAAGTTAAAAAAAAAAAAGTGCCATCAAATGGCAGTGATAACCACCCTCCAAAGTGGCCCCTAGTGACCTCTGTTCTCCTTCCTAATACATTCTTGTGTAATTCCCTCCCATCTTGTATCAGATTTGGCCAGTGTAACCAGTGAAATATGCCATAAGTGATGGTGTGTCACTTCTGAGATTAGCTCCTAAAAAACACTGGCTTCTTTCTTGTTTGCTTTCTCTCTCTCTCTCTCTCTCTCTCTCTCTCTCTCTCTCTGATTCTCTTTGGGATTCTTACTTTGGGGGAAGCTGGCTTCCTCATCAAGCAGCCCCATGGAGAGACCCACATGGTAAGGAACCGAGGCCTGTAAACAACCATGGAAGTGACAGTGAAAGCAGATCCTCCAGCCCTAGTCCTAACTTAGATGACAACAACTGTCAACAGATTCACTGCAGTCTCTTGAAAGACTAAGCCAGAACTAGGTAAGCTCTTCCCAGATTCTTGACCTTTGAAGACACCATGTGAGATAATAAACCATTGTTATTTTAAGTCACTGTTTTGGAGTAATTTGTTATGCAGCAATAGGTAACCAATACAGGCACCCTGGCGGATGCAATCCCTCTCTCTTACCCTTCACGTCCAGGCAATCACCTCCTAAGCATCACTCATCTCTTCACTTCTTTCCTTCTCCACTGCCAGCATCCTTGTCCAAGTCTGGACTGCTACAGTTGATAACTGACCTCCTCACTGACCATGCTCCAGCTAGAATGATGAGTGGAAATCTGTTGCTGACATTTTCCTTATGAAAACCCTTCCCTGGCGCCCCATTGCTCTTAGAGTCAAGATAAAAATCTTCATATGGCTCAGATGGCCCTTGATGACCATCGCCCTTCCTGCCCCCACAGTTTGTCTTAGCCTGCCCTCACTTACTCACGCCCACCCTCCCTCCATGCTTCAACATCATTGGTCTACTTTCTACCTAACAATGTTCTCCCTTGAATAAAAGCACTATAGACATGAAGCTTAAAACACCCCTTCCCTGCAAGCTTCTCCTACCTCCCAGGCAGCTCAAATCAGCCTTCAAGCCTCAGCTTAAATATCACCTTCTCAGAAAGCCTTCCCTGGCATCTACCAAGACGGGGCTAAGTCCACTATTATTCACTCTCACAAACTTATTCAATCTTCAACCAATATTTATTGGGCATTTAACACAGGCACTGTCTACAGCTTGGAATATATTAGAGAGGATTCCTTTGTTCATGTGTGTATCACAATTCTCATTCAAATAATTATTTGTCTCATTAACTGATTAATGTCTGTTTCCACTGCTAGATTGTAAGTTCTATGCAGACAAAGACCATTTTCTGCTTGTTTACCAATGCCTGGCTCAGACTAGATGTTCAATTAATGTTAGTTGAAGAAATGAAATAAGGGAGCTTTTAAGTTAGACAGAACTGAATTTGAATACTTGATCTACTACTTACAAACAGTGTGACTTGGGCACAGTTTCACCACCTATAAAATGAGAATAATGACAGTACCTTAGGGTGGGTGTGAGGATTGAATGTGCTTAGAACAGTGCCTGATACTTAATAAGTGCTTATGCAAATGTGCCATTTTATGATTAAAAATGAATTTTATATCACATTCATGTCACAGAGCTATCATTTTGAGACTTCATCTATTTATTGCAGTCTACATTTTCCTGAGTCATTATCTTTCCCAGAATTTTATCATTTTGGTGTTGTTGCTCAGCTTAGCTAAATGTACTTGCTTTGACTCTTTCAGGGTTTCTCTGAAAATATAAATGGATGCAGCATTTTTGTTTGCTATAAATTTCCCCACTTAGAGGAAAGATTTTTAACATACATATACATTTGGGAAAATGATGCATACCCTTCAGGAGAACTCAGTGTTGAGGAATCAACAACAATAAACAGGAGTAACTGTATCTCAAGGAACATGGTAGATAAAAATCAAAGAGAAAGAAAAATAGGAAGTCACATGCCTACAGTGCTTGATTATCTCAATCAGGATTATTTATAGCAAATCTTGTTTTACATTTCTATTGAAGGTGCTAAATGCATAGAAGAAATGATTTAAAACATACTCATCAGGCGGGGCGTGGTGGCTCACACCTGTAATCCTGGCACTCTGGGAGGCTGAGGAGAGAGGATTGTTTGAGCTCAGGAGTTCAAGACCAGCCTGAGCAAGGGCTAGACTCTGTCTCAAAAATAGATAAATAAATAAATAAATCGTACTCACCAAACTGCCAAAGGCAGGGGGCTTTATGTTTTAGTTTGGTAAGAATACTTTATAAGAACGTATTACTTATGTGTGCATGTATACATATAGACATACACACAAACAAATACAAATTAATGAATAACTAAAGGTACTCTATCTCAGAAATAGGAGGGAGGCCCAGTTGGGCTTCAGCTTGTCTTTTTTTTTTTTGAATCAGAGTCTCGCTCTGTTGCCTGGAGCAGAGTGTTGTGGCGTCAGCCTAGCTCATAGTAACCTCAAACTCCTGGCTCAAGCAATCTTTCTGCCTTAGTCTCCTGAGTAGCTGGGACTACAGACATTCACCACCATGACCGGCTAATTTTTTCTATATATTTTAGTTGGCCAATTAATTTTCTTTCTTTTTATTTTTTTCATATCCCTCCCTCCCTCCCTCCCTCCCTCCTCCCTCCCTCCCCCCTCCCTCCCTCCTCCTCCTTCCTTCCTTCCTCTTCCTTCCTTCTCCTTCCTTCTTCTTCCTTCCTTCCTTCTTTCCTTTCTTTCTTCTTTTTTTGGCAGAGTCTCACTTTGTTGCCCAGGCTAGAGTGAGTGCTGTGGCATCAGCCTAGCTCACAGCAACCTCAAACTCCTGGGCTCAAGCAATCCTCCTGCCTCAGCTTCCTGAGTAGCTGGGACCACAGGCATGCGCCACCATGCCCGGCTAATTATTTCTATATACATATTAGTTGGCCAATTAATTTCTTTCTATGTATAGTGGAGATGGGGTCTTGCTCTTGCTCAGGCTGGTTTCGAACTCCTGACCTCGTAATCACCCCGCTCGGCCTCGCAGAGTGCTAGGATTACAGGCATGAGTCACCGCACCCGGCCTTCAGCTTGGTTTTGCGCACACATTTCGTCAAGTATAAAGCTATCCCTTATGTGAAGGGGAAAGTATGGAAGGGCAAGAAGAGGGAACATTGGAGAAAGAGCTACTCAGATATATTTTCTCTTTGTGGCTTCTTTATTACTTAGAACATTGTAAATTTCTAAAATGTTGAAAATTATTCATCAAATATTTACAGTTTGCCTTCTCTGTTTAAGGGACTGCGCTCGGTCTACGAGGGATCTGAGCCTTTAGGTGGCCTTCCATCTACTGGGACAGAGCAGACCAGCAGCAGACACTGTAACACACGCTAGAAGGTGTTAGGCAAATGCATAGCAGTCAAGGAGCATAAAGTCCAAAGCAAGGAGACATCACGTTGGGGGAATATATGTAACATTCTCTGAAGAGGTTACAGAAGCTGAGACTGAGAAAAGTCTATCATATTAGAGCAGGAAGTCAATACCATGCCAGAGGTGGAGCCGACAGTGTGTGTGCAATGAAGGAGAGAGGTGTTTAGGGAAGGTAATTAATGTACCTTTTGCCTAGAAATGTGTTGTGTAAGGAAAGGGAAGGGGGAATATCCTAGTAGATTGTCAGGGTTAAAAAGTTTTTTCTTTTTCATTTTGCTTTTTTTTTGAGACAGAGTCTCACTTTGTTGCCCAGGCTGGACTGAGTGCCGTGGCGTCAGCCTAGCTCACAGCAACCTCAAACTCCTGGGCTCAAGCAATCCTACTGCCTCAGCCTCCCGAGTAGCTGGGACTACAGGCATGTGCCACCATGCCCGGCTAATTTTTTCTATATATATTAGTTGGCCAATTAATTTCTTTGTATTTATAGTAAAGACGGGGTCTAGCTCTTGCTCAGGCTGGTTTCGAACTCCTGACCTCGAGCAATCCGCCCACGTCGGCCTCCCAGATTGCTAGGATTACGTGTGTGAGCCTTTTCATTTTGCTTTTAAAATCTGAGAGACCTAAGTGGGATTTTAAGGCAAAGGAAAAGAGTATAGAGGCAAGAAAAAAATAGATACGTTCTCTGAAAATTCTTATTGAAAAAGAAATTGGAAAAGAAAAAAGAAAGAATAGGTAAATGATGGGAAAACGTTCCAGAAGAGACATGAGAGACTGAGATGGATACAAGAAAATTTGTTAAGAGTTGGAAAAAATATGGGTCATTTCTAGGCAATAGATGTTTATCATAATTATCATCTTCATTGGTGAATATAGGGATATTAAAGATGGAACAGACAGATACCAAAAGATGGCCTTAATCTACTAAACAAACAAGCAGGGCGGTGAGGTCTTTTTTGGGGAATGTGGCAGTGAAAATGGGGTTTGAGAATATATGAAGTTTTGGTTCCACTGCTGTGGAGAACCTGAGAAGCAGGCAAAAAATATGAATACAAGAGCTGGCATGCGATAGTGAGTGATTCAGATTTCGAGGAGACCCAGTCAATACCTATTTGTGACTTCCTCCAGCAACATTTGATAGACAAGGAGCACAAATGACAGCATGATAGGAAGGGGCCCTAAATTGGAGACTGAAAAGGGAGGTGTGAATGTAAAATTCAGACAGACTCTGCTAAATATATAAAAAATAACTTTCTAGCAATCTTCTCCAGAAATGGAGCAGATTGCCTTAGGAAGAAGTTAATCTGCTGTCACTGGAGGTTTTTATGCATAGTCTGGACTCCCTGGGGCTGTTGGACGGCAGGACCTTCCACCCCTTTGTATTTTGTGATTCAAGAGCAACGTTAAGAGCATCAGTGAACTGGCTGACCAGATGGGAGAGGAAGGCAAATGAGTTCTCAAGGCAGGGCTCCTCTCCAGACCTACTGAGTCAAATAATTCTGGGGGCAAGATGGGTGTGCATGTTAAAACTTCCACAGCTGATTTTGCTGCATGGCCAGGATTGAGAACAAGGGACGTATGAAATGCAAGATGTTTCGGGCCCTTTACATGTGTTTAAAGATGAGGTCAGATATAAATGATTTTTGGAAAACCTGCCATTTTGGATTTTTCATTCCACTGTTTTCCCTCTAAGTATGGATAATTGAGAATTGTGTAAATTGTTGTACTAGTTTAGATAAGTAAAGAGCATCAGGAATAATATGATCTGTAGAGAAGTCATTCATTCACAATTCAATAAATAGATATATACACTCAGTTTATCGATATATTGAAATTTATTGCTTAATTAAACCATTTAAAGTGTTTTAGAATATCCTCAGGCAATGGAACAGAGCATGAAACCAGATTTTATTAAGACAGGACTAAAAGAGCCAGTTAAGGCTGGGTGCGGTGGCTCAAGCCTGTAATCCTAATACTCTGGGAGGCTGAGGCAGAAGGATTGGTTGAGGTCAGGAGTTGGAGACCAGCCTGAGCAAGAGCAAGACCCTGTCTTTACTAAAAATAGAAAAATGAGCCAGGCATAGTGGCATGCACATGTAGTTAGCTACTTAGGAGGTTGAGGCAGGAGGATCACTTGAGCCCAGGAGTTTGAGGTTGCTGTGAGCTATGATGGCGTTACTGCACTCTAGCCCAGGTGACAGAGTGAGACTATGCCTCAAAAAAAAAAAAAAGTGCCAGTTAAAAAATAGCAATGCACTGAAGATTCATTATTGCTTGTCATAACAATAAGATTATATTTTATAGTGAAAGTAAAATTAAAGCAGGGAAAATGAGATCTTCTATACATTTAGGAAAAACCTTGTGGGTTTTTTGTTTTTGGAAAGTTCCAAAAAGATTATTAATTCAACACAAGGAAAATGAGAGAATTAATGTAGGCCTATGACAAGATTTCAAGAAATTTATTTTTAAAGATAAAGAGATGCTGTTTTTCCCATCAAAATCACTAAGTTATATGGTTAGGGCTTAAAATTCATTATTTTAAAAAAGGAGCAGGAAGTTGGGAAATAAATGTGACCTGAGTAGTTTTTAATGTTGATTATCATTCATGGTGTGCTAGAGTTGAAAAATATCTTTAAATTCATGGAAGCTATTATAATTTATTTCAATTTAAATAATTATTTTAATGCATTATAATTTTTCATGATCTCTTTTAAAATATGTTACTTGATGATTTCTTTTTTAAAATTTTACTAAAATGACTTTATAGTACTTGTATATCAGTCAGGGTTCAATCAGAGAAAGAGAACCAGTAGGACATATATATTAACAGATTTGTTACAACAAATTGGCTTACGTGATCATGGTGGTTAGCGAGGCAAGTCTGAATCTACAGGGCAGGCTGTCAAAAAGGCATGAGCTTTCTACAAGCGGACTTAATGGTCCTCAGGATCTACATGGAGCCTCCCAGTGGCTCCTGGCTCATGTGGATGCAGAAGTCCCAAGCTTCACTGTGCAACTTTCACCCTTTCATTCCAATTGTAACAGTAGAATTTCTGGAATAT